CTGTAGAAGTACTTTAACAAATACAGTTGATCTTCATTAGTTGTGGATTTTGTTTTTCAGACTTCACCTGCTAAAATTTTACTTGCTAAAATTTATTTGTAACCCCAGAATATACTTTCACTGCTTTTGTGTTAATTTGTGGACACATATATAGCAGTGAAAAGTTTGAGTTGCCCAATGCACGTGTTCCCTTCACCTGCTAAAATTTTACTTGCTAAAATTTATTTGTAACCCCAGAATATACTTTCACTGCTTTCGTGTTAATTTGTGGACACATATATAGCAGTGAAAAGTTTGAGTTGCCCAATGCACGTGTTCCCAGATTAGGTCCAAATAAGGCAATACTCTGCCTTCTTGTTTCAACTCTCATACTGTATAAAAAATTCTTTGACATTTATTTAGTGCCAAGTTTTTCACATTTTTGTGCTTTTTGTTAGTTATTTTACTGTTAAAGATGGCCCCCAAGCGTAGTGGTAAAATGCTGTCTAATTTCCTAAGTGCAGGAAGGCTATGATGTGCCTCACAGAAAAAAATACATGTGATAGGTAAGCTTCAATCAGGGTGGGGTGTCTTCAAACAGATACCCAAACAAAAACAAGATTATGTGTTAATTTTGACGAAAATCTTCTGACCAGAAGCTCACAGCAACCTAACTAACCCTGTATTTTCCCCAGAAGCTGTGGTTCAGGGTTTGCTTATTCAGCACTTATGTGTATACTTTATAGAACATAACTATTTCAAGTCACGAGAATAGACTGTATTTATTTTTTTAAATTAAGTGATTATTAACAATTAACAATTATATAATTTTTAACATGTGTCATTATTTCAGATCAGATGATTAATAAATTTTAGGTAGTTGAGAAGAGGTAGGAAATGATTCACGAACATGAGGAAATTCTGAAACCTAGAGAAGGAAACAAGAAGCATGTTTAGTTAGCATTGCTGTTTGGCAAAGATGAAGTCCTTAGACTTCATGCATATCAAAGAAGAGTAAATCATGTCTACAGTTCTCTTTCAACTAAAGAAGTCTTTTATACTTTGGACACAGACTGGGAAAAATAAAGGGACAGATGATTAAAAATATTTTTTCTTCTTACTGTTGAAGGATAGGGCACTATTTTTGGGGGCAAGAAAGAAATGATTTCTAGAAGACATCATTACTTCTAGATCATTAATGACAACAATATAGAGTATTATTTATATAGTGAGAAGCACTGTTGTGTAATGGATTTCTTTGCCTTCTTTGCACTCGATACACTCTGAGGTCATAGCACATATCCTTTAACACTAAAACAAAGGTTCTCAGTGGATCACTATACCAATGTTGGTGATCTTACTCTGGCCCATGACATGTACATTTTTAGTAGACAGTAATATGCTGAAGAAACTCATGGAAAACTCTAAGTGATCACCTTATTCATTTATTTATACAATGTTTCTTTCAATCCAAAAGTATATGCACATAGTTAAGAAACAAAAAAAAATTCTGGAAGTTCTAATAATGAAAAATAAATGAACCATATCCTACCCCTTCCGTTCCACATTCTTTCTTCCTAGAAACATTCTTTTAACTCTGTTATTTCTTCTGTTGTTTACAACCATATTGTTAATAGTATACTTAATGCTATTTCTTGATTTATCAATTTTAGATCATATTTATTTTTCTGCCATGATAGATGAGTTTACACTTACCCCTTCATCCTTTATCATCTCAGTATAGTTATAGCACTATCTTGTCCTTCAGCTCAGGTAAATTTTCTACTTCCATTGATTATTTTCTTGTATCTTCTCTCTCTGGAATCCTTTTTGTTAGGAATTGGCACTCCTGGGTTGATCTTCTGTCTCTCCTTTTTTTCATGTTTTTCTTCTCTTTTTCTGAATGTATCATTTTCTTATTTGTTTTTCTATCCTTTCTATAATTTTTTCATTTCAACAAATCTTCTATGCTCTCTTGATTTCAGATTGTTTTTCTTTGAAAAATAGACCCTCTGGGCCGGCCCGGTGGCGCACTGGAGAGTGTGCTGCTTGAGAGCGCCGCGGCGCTCCCGCCGAGGGTTCGGATCCCATGTGGTGACCGGTTCCCGCTCACTGGCTGAGCGTGGTGTGGGTGCAACACTGAGGGTTGTGATCCCGTTACCGGCCAGTAAAAAAGACAAAAAGTGAAAAAAAAAAAAAAAGAAAAATAGACCCTCTGCTGTATTCTTTAAGGATGTACAATAGAGTCCAGTAAAAAAGACAAAAAGGGAAAAAAAAAAAAAAAGAAAAATAGACCCTCTGCTGTATTCTTTAAGGATGTACAATAGAGTTTTATTTAAGAAATCATTACGTCTAGAACTTTATTTAAAAGTTCTCTTCTGTTTTGTGCATTATTTCTGTTTTCTCTGGAGTCATTTTGTATGTGTGAGTATGTGTGTATGTTCTTTCTGCCTTTATCTCTCCTTGGAGGCTTTCTCTAAATATCAGTGTTTTCTGATTGGTTATTTGTAGTTGAGAATGAGATATCAAACGTAGGTTGGGAGTTTTGTGCATAATCAGGCTTCTGACTGGAAACCTTCACTTTAGGGCAGTTTTCTCAACTTTTTTCATTATTGCTCCCTGAAGGAGCATATTTAAACATTTTTCCCCCTAATCCCGTCCCCTTAGCCTTCATGGAATTTTAATGCCACAAAATATACTTTATATCTGTTTATATGTTGTGAAAGACTTAAATATCAGGAAGGGTTTGGGGTAGGCTGTTCCTCTGGGCTATTTAGTTGCTACATCTGCTCCCCTATCTGTAGTCATTCTGTGGAGAAATAGAGTGGAGTTGTAGGGGTCACCAACCATTTATGGACCTTGAATTAGTCTCCCAGTTTTCAGTCTGGTGTCTTAACTTCTGTCCTTTACTTCACCAAACATTTGTGAGTCCTGAGCCTCTTCTTGCTTCAATGGGGCAAATTATCTCCTTTTTGTCCATTCCCCTTTGTGCGACTCTAACCTATAACTTCTTCTACTCTGCTACTTCAGTCACCATTCCTCCATATGTTTTGTCTTGTAGAATTTTATGAGACCTCTAACTTTAATGTTCACTAATGGTTCCTCTCCAATTCTATTTGTTGTAATGGTTTATCTGTTTTCAAATCCTTAAATGGTATTTCACTGGGGCCTTGGAACTGAGAGGAGATGAACACTTGTGCTCAATTTTCCATCCTGTCTTGATATCCTTAATAAACTTCAAAAATAAGCATTTTCACATATCTATAGTTTGTATTCTAGTCAAATATTTTTCTCTATAAAATGCCTCTAATTTTTGTTTATTTATTTTTAAGTTCTCAACAGTGGTTTATCGCTACCAAGAACTTACTAAAATGATCTGTATTTGTTACTTCCATATGTTGTAATATAGTGTGTTTATATTGATTGGAAATTCAATAAAACTTGTACTGGCAAGAGAATTCTTTTCCTTTTTTGAATCCTTAGTGTTAAGAGAATTATGCTGAGGTAGATATTAGAATTTGTGGAGATCGGGGCCAGCCCGGTGGCGCACTGCTACAGTGTGCCGCTTGGGAGCGCGGTGGCCCTCCCGCCAAGGGTTCGGATCCCACATACAGACCGGCCGCTCACTGGCTGAGCGAGGTGCGGGCGCAGCGCCGAGGGTTGCGATCCCGTTGCCGGTCCCAGTCCAGTATGGGCGTGACACTGAGGGTTGCGATCCGTTGCCGGTCACGAAAAAAGACAAAAAAAAGGGAAAAAAAAAAAAGAATTTGTGGAGATCTCAGAGAACTTTCAAGAGCTGTATTGTCTAATACGGTCTGAGCCATTAGCTACAGATGACTATTTAATTAAAATTAAATAAAATAAAAAATTTGGTTCCTCAGTCATAGTGGTCACATTTCAAGTGTTCAGTACCAAATATGGCTAGTGGCTACCATATGGGACAGTGTAGATACAGAGCATTTCCATCATTGCCAAAAAGTTCTATTAAACAGCACTGTTCAAAAGTAGAAAGTAGGACACCATTCTGTAGTTTCTGCAAGATTGACTCGTTTCTTAAGGCTTAAGCTTTGCAGGAGTTGCTTAGTCTAGTAAGAATATAGGACTTTGCTGAATAGATATTGATATGAAAGGAAAATAATTGACATCTTAAAAGTATGCTGCAAAGCCTTCAGGAAAGAGTACAAATCACAAGACTAGCTATTGTCTAAATTAATTCAGGAGACAGCCAGGAAAGCACTATAATAATTGTGCTATAATCTTTTTTTTTTTTTTTTAAATAAAAAGATGACCTTTAATGGGATTTTAACCCTTGCCTTGGTGATGTAAGCACCATGCTCTCCCAAGTGAGCTAACCGGCCATCCCTATATAGGGATTCGAACCCATGGCCTTGGTGTTATCAGCACCATACTCTCCCAAGTGAGCCATGGGCTAGCCCCTTAATTGTGCTATAATCTTACCTTGTGTTGATTCAAGGAAAAACTGCATAAAGTTGAGAGAGTCATAAAATATAGCATCATCTGTAGTGTCCTCTCCATCCTTCAGAACTTCCCACTAGGATTCTCAGCACAGGCCAAAAAATGATGCTGATAAACGGTTGTTTTGAGTGGGTGGACAGATAAGCTGTTAACACATTTATATACTGCTGATTATTTGTAATACACTTAAGTACAGCATATATCTTAAAAACATAGAGCTATAAGGGGCTTTAGGAATGATCTAGTCCTATCCTTTCATCTTATAGGCAGAAGAAACTGAAGCTTAAAGTAGGGAAATAGTTTATTCTAGGGCACACACTGAATGGAGGGCAGAGGTAGCAGAACCAACGTATTTTGAGTTCATGTGCAGAACATTTCCTATGGTACTATGCTGATGACAAAGAAGAAAAGACTTGGTTCATTGACTCCTCTCAAAAACTTTAATACTTCAGATGCAAGTTCCAAGCTGGCAACCTAAACTTTATTTTTAAAGAGTATGTAATTCTGGGAGCTATAAATTTCATAATGTGTCTTCCTCTTTTTAGAACAACAATTTGTAATCTTTACACAATGCCACGAATTGGAGAGCCTGTCTGGCTTACAATGATGTCGGGGACTCCAGAAAAGAACCAGCTTTGCCATCGTTTCATGAAGGAGTTTACTTTTCTAATGGAAAATGCTTCCAAAAATCAGTATGGCTTACTTTATTTATTTATGTTTTTCTTCATCTTTTTATTTACTATATTAGATATCTAGATTGTGATCAACCCAGTAACAGAAGAATCATCCATTATCTTTAGAATTAGTTCATATCATTAATAATCAAAATAGAATTCTCAATTATAATTAAATAATAGGGTATGGAAGAGTGACACAGAACCTTATGAATGGGAAACAGTAAAAATGTCTTCAATTATGTATTAAATTAAAAATTCCTGACATCTTACAGAACTCTGAGACTTTCTATTTTTGTGAATTGTATCTACTTATGATGGTTTCATTTCATAAAAAGAGATAAAAAAACATGTAAGGAAGTGTTAGTGTTCCAGTGATACATTTTTAATGTGATATCTTGTCATATTGTTTTCTTCTAATTATTCGTCAAGTCTTTAGAATCCAAGATTAGTACTTAAGATGTTTTTATTCTCTTTGATGATAGACAGAGTTTGCTTAATAGTTGCCTTTGTTTTCCCATTTAGCAATTTGGAAATGTAAGAACCTGTTGGTTAGTTCATTAACGAACTGAGCAGATTAGACACTGTAAAGAATCCATAGTTTTTCAAGTAAAATGGCTTTTTTGTTCTGTAATTATGATCTGAAATAGCTCCTTGTGAATGTTCTTTATTTTAAGTATTTTCTTTAACTTTTCCCCAACCACAAATTTTATTAACTTTCATTTTTATCTTATTCTTTCCTCTCCCTTCATCTTTTTTATGCCATTTGGCCACATGACAATATGTAATTTCTTTGCTTACTCTGTCACTACATTTTATCTAAGGTTTTGCGAAGGCAGATTGGAATCTGATAAGATGCATTTTGTTTTCAGATTCTTGTCAGCTCTCATTACTGCAGTTCTTACCAACCACCTTGCCTGGGTTCCAACAGTCATGCCAAATGGACAACCACCTATAAAAATATTTTTAGAAAAGCATTCTTCTCAAAGTGTGGACATGTTGGCAAAGACTCATCCATATAACCCACTTTGGGCACAACTAGGTATGTAGTCTGAAAATCCTTATGCTTTGTATTACACTTAGACTTTTGTATAACTGTCTGGAATTATTTTATAGCAAAAAACAAAACTAAAAAAAATGTTCTGTTTTTACATCCTCCACTCTAAAGCATCTCTCCTTTACTTGTCTTTTTATGTCTGCTAAATTGTCCTATCTCCATCTTATGCATTATGTCATTCCTTATGCATAAAAAACTGCAGGTGGAGCAAGAGGAGCAGTCTGATAGTTGGTTTATTAGTAAATTCAAGATCTTCAGGATGTTTTGCTTTTTTTGTACTTCGCATTAGGCACTTTGTCTAGATAGAATGAATCAACAGAGTCACCTGTGATAACTAGAATAAATCTGGCTAAGAGAAAAGCAGTTCATTAAGCTTTATATTGTTTCACTTTTGTTTAATAAGTCATTTTGGAAAATGTTTCCCTTAGCGCTAGGTAACTGGAGAGAGTGGATGGTTAAGTTCACAGGCATTAGAGAGGCAGCATGGTGCTTAAGGGTGCAAGTAGTGGAGACAGGCCCATCACATTTGAGTCATAGTTTCCTTATTAATAGAGTGGAGATAAAAATAGTACATACTTTGAAAAGTTGTGAAAATTAAATGAGATAATACTCGTAAAATGATTAGGACAATGTTTGGTAAACATAGCTGCTATTACTTCTCTTACTCTGTTGCTATTAGGTGATGGAGAGGAGTAAGATGAGAATATTTTAGTGACCTGGTAGAAACTTTCCTTAGGAAGTTTGAGCTCTGGTGATTGAGCTTGCCAGGTGATTGTCCTGTGGCTTATCAATTCACATAACTAACTTTCCTCCCTATTTTTTCCCACCCTTTCACTTTATTGAGTTATAATTGACATACATTTAAGTAAACACATAAAGTGTAGAATTTTGATAAATTTTGATGTACATTTAGTCACATTTTGTGAACCGTCACCATAGTCAAGTCACATATCGATTACTTCCAAAAGTTCTTTCACTCCCTTTTGTAATCCCTCCCTCCTGCTTCTCTCCATCCTCCCTGTCCCCCTTCATCCATCCCCCAGCAGCCACTAACCTGCTGTCATTATAGATTAGTTTGCATTTTCTAGAGTTTTATATAAATGGAATCATACAGTACATACTCTTTTTGTCTGACTTCTTTCATTCAACATAATTGAGACTCACCTATGTCATATGTATTAATAGTTCATTCCTTTTTAATGCTGAGTAGTATTTCATTGCATGGAGTTTAGCTTACCTTTTTTTAAATCAAGTAATTCAGTAGTATTTTTATTTATTGGGACATTTCAAATCTATTTGCAATTCTACAATCATCTATTGAGTGCATAATATGATATCTAAGGCTCTATGCAAAGAGCACTAGAGAGTATAAAAATGAATAATTTGGTCCTTGCTCTGAAGAAGTTGACAGTCTAGGGGTGGCCAGTTAGCTCAGTTGGTTAAAGCGAGGTGTTATAACACGAAGGTCAAGGGTTTGGATCCCCATAACAGCCAGCTGCCAAAAAGAAAAGAAAAAAAATAAAAAAGTTGATGGCCTAATGCTCTAGTGATACATATGAAGACAATAATGATAATTCAAATAGGAACTATAAGAGAAATGAAAGTTCAGTGGCAGTTCAATAAGAGGAGCTTACCTTTTGCCCAAGTTGGGATGCTTGGGTGAGAAGCTTTGGACCAGCAGAGATGCAGAGGGAAGGGAGAGCACATTGTGTGAGTAAAGGAGTCTAGGTAGTAAAAGTACATAGAGCATTCATGGTCCAGTTTAAGTGGGGCTTTTGGTGAATAATGATGAAAAAGGGGGACTGGCTAGTTATCTCACCTGGTTAGAGCATGGTCTTATAACACCAAGGTGTCAAGAGTTTGGATCCCCATACAGACCAGCCACGAGAAAAAAAAAAAAAAAGGTAACTATAAGAGAATAAAGCTGGAAATGTAAAGTGGAACCAGTCATGAAAGACTCACTTGCCATGCCAAAGCAATTTTAATTTATTTGGTAATCAGAGGGAATTTGCAGAGTAGTTTAGAACAGTGGCATGGTGATATTTTAGCCAGTGTCATTGCCAGAGGAGAAAATTTATCATAATACTGTCTGCAGCATATATTTGTTTAAGACCTATTTATATTTGTCTCTTTAAAAAGCAAAAATAGAGGGGTTTTTTTACAGTAAAAATAGAGGTTTTTAAATGTGTATACTGACAACTTGCAAATAAAAGTAAATTTAAATTAATGGTTTTGTATTCTCCATTTGTAAGTCATTGTTTTGCCAGATTATTGGTTTTATTTAAGTGATATCGATAACTTCCAGTGCCCCCCTCTTTAATATAATGGCAGTTCATGTCTCCTATGGATACAAAAATGAAAATTAATCACATGATTAATCATGTTGCCCTTTCTCTTCTTCTTAGTAAGGATGAGTCTCTTTCTTCCTGTCCTTTCTGTCATATCCTGAGTATCCAACCCTTTAGAGAATGGAAGGGGAATTAGGTTTTTAAAAACACAGTAGATGGTGTTGGGGGGTCCTGGCTAGGGCAGCAACAGTTAAGGTTCAGGAATATGATTTAAAGCAGGGATGGTTAAGTGTATGATGTGACTACCGCAGCTTTGCTCCATTTTGCTCCTACTTTATCTCCTTGGGAAATTATTTCAGAACTGACTCTTTGCTTGAGGTTTCAGAACCACAGCAGTTATTTAAGGAAGAAGCTAAAAAACCCCTCCTCCATTCACTTTTGTCTCTGATTAAGACCATTCATCTCATCCTACTCTACTGAATCCTACCTACTAAGAGTAAAACCTGAACTACACCTCATACAACAAGAGTAGGTTTTCTGATAATTAAAAACAGCCTGCTTAGCTGTGTGAGTAGAGGATGTGTTCATTAGCTGATTTTTCTATTGCAGGAGACTTGTATGGCGCTATTGGCTCTCCTGTACGGTTAGCGAGGACTGTGGTAGTTGGAAAACGACAAGACATGGTCCAGAGGCTGCTTTATTTTCTAACTTATTTCATAAGATGCTCTGAACTTCAGGAAACCCATCTTTTAGAAAACGGAGAAGATGAAGCCATTGTTATGCCAGGCACAGTAATTACGACCACTTTAGAAAAAGGTGAAATAGAAGAATCGGAATATGTGCTTATCACAATGCATAGAAACAAAAGCATTTTGCTCTTTAAAGAGTCAGAAGAAACAAGAACTCCTAATTGTAACTGTAAATATTGCAGTCATCCACTTCTTGGGCAAAACATAGAAAATGTTTCACAACAAGAGAGAGAAGATATTAAAAACAGCTCTAAGGAGCTGCTAGGAATTTCAGATGCAGGCCAAATGATTACTCCTCCTGACTGCCAAGAAGAAAATGCTGCTGATGTTAAACAGTACAGAGATAAATTAAGAACTTGCCTTGACAACAAGTTAGAGACAGTTGTTTGCACAGGATCTGCTCCAGTAGACAAATGTACATTATCAGAGTCAGCCTTAGAGCCAGCAGAGAAAACATGGCAGAGTGAAGAATTGCTGGATTCAGATAATCACACAGGCAAAGCGATGAGATCCACAGGAATGGTTGTGGAAAAAAAACCTCCAGATAAAATCGTGCCTGCTGCATTTTCTTGTGAGGCAACCCAGACAAAGGTTACTTTCCTGATTGGGGATTCTATGTCACCTGATTCAGATACTGAACTCAGGAGTCAGGCAGTGGTGGATCAGATTACCAGACATCACAACAAACCATTAAAGGAAGAAAGAGAAGATATTGATAAGAATCAAGAAACTGAACAAACTAAGGACCAATCTGGAGAGTCTAATATACAGAACATGGTATCTGGAGAGCCCTATGAACTTTCCAGTTGGAATCATTCAGACCAGGAAAGCATGAGTTTATTTGACGAATATTTTAATGATGATTCAATTGAAACCAGGACTATTGATGATGTTCCAGCTAAAACAAGTACAGACAGTAAACACTGTTGTATGTTAGAATTTTCAAAAAGATTGTGTACAAAGAATAGCAAACAGAAAAATGAATTTTGTAAATGTATAGAAACAGTTCACCAAGATTCATGTAAAACCTGCTTTCCTCAGCAGTATCAAAGAAATATGCTCTCCATTCTTGTCCCCCGTGGGGATAAAGAGAGTTCAGAGAAAAAAATTGCTGTAGGAACTGAATGGGACATTCCAAGAAATGAAAGTTCAGATAGTGCCCTTGGAGATAGTGAAAGTGAAGATACAGGCCATGATATGACTAGACAAGTCAGCAGTTTTTATGGAGGAGAGCAAGAAGACTGGGCAGAAGAGGATGAGATACCTTTTCCTGGGTGAGTAGGAAAGTCGTTTTCACCTGTAATAGGCACTGTATGAATATGTACCATTCTTTTATTTAGCTAGTGTCTGAAAGTTAGTAGTAGCTAATATGAAAGATGAGATCACTGTCGTGGACAAATACTTTTTTTATCATTATGTGCTCTTATCTTATTCAAAGGCTAAGACCCTCTAGCACCCCAGAAAGACTTTGTGAAGGTGTCATAGAAAAGTTAAAGGATTTGGTTGATATGTAAGAGATTCCTTATTGCTTAGTTTTCATGGCACTTAGAAGTGAATTATTCCCCCTAAAGGACCTATGCTGGACCTGGCAGTTAGGGAGAGGTAAACACTGAGAAGGTAGGAAATGGCTGTTAGAAATAGAGTTGGCCAAGACTAAGAGGAAAACAGGGAATGTATACTCTGGGTCAAGTATACAAGGAGAAGATCCATGCTTGAGAAATGTTATACACCAACCTTTGGAGTTGTGAGGTATTTAGTTATTTTGTTGTGGATAATAGTTTTCATAATCTGATTGTATTAACAATGTGTTACAAATGCAAGGGACGGCTCTTCTAAAGTCAGTCATGAAAGATTCACTGACTTCATTACAAAATTGTTGATCAGAGCTTCTTCTCTGGATAAGAAGGAATATTTTGTGGTCTGATTGAGCATGTAAGCCAATTTTTATTTAAAGATGATTTTACTGAGTATATTTTGTAGAAAATAATGGTACTGGAGTGGAGTTGACCTGTTTGCTCAGTTGGTTATAGTATGGTGCTGAGGTCAAGGGTTCAACCTCTGTACCGGCCAGCCACCAAAAAAGAAAAGAAAAGAATGGTACTGGAAATAAGGACTAGTAGAGTTCACAACTTTTTAACTGGTAAAATATGTTTATTACTAATTAGATATGTCTTCTTTGGGGATCTTTCTTATAGGTCAAAGTTAGTTGAAGTGAGTGCTGTTCAGCCCAACATTGCCAACTTTGGGAGGTCCTTGCTGGGTGGCTTCTGCTCATCTTATGTGCCTGACTTTGTTCTTCAAGGAATTGGTAGTGATGAGAGGCTCCGTCTGTGTCTCTTTTCAGATTTGTCTCATGCTGTGCAGGTGAGTGACCTTCACTGTTCTTGAATTTATTTAGAACAAACTCTGTTAACCAGCAGAACACAGAATTACAGAATTGCTTTGTATTTTTGGTCACACTTCACTGTATAATACAGTCATTGTTCTTTAAATCCATCACTTTATATACAGCCCCTGTGTCTTTGTACCTATCACCATGAAAGCAAGTAGAGAGTTCCAGGAATCTATCCAAATGGAAATCTGAAATATAGAAAGTATTTTCTGTATTCATAGATGTCCAACGACTAGATTATTTACTGTATCAAAAAATTACAAATGCTTAAACATAAATAGAATTATTCTCTTAATTTTCTTTTCAGATTATTCACTGCTTATATATTGACAAACTTGACTTTGGTATATTGATCTTGTATCCTGTAACCATGCTGAATTCTTACTAGTTCTGTTAGTTTTTTTGTACAGATTCCTTAGGATTTTCCACATATAGGTCCATGTCATCAGTACACAGTCTTATATCTTTCGTTCCAATTTGGATGCATTTCACTTCTTTTCTCTCCTCCCTTCCTCCTTCCCTCTTTCAATACAGTGTTTCATGGAAACTGTGACAGTGGCCATCATTCTTCCTGATCTTAGAGAGAAAACCATTGAGTCTTTCATTAATGTGATATTAGCTGTAGGGTTCTTGTAGATGCTTTTTATCAGGTGGAGGGAGTTTCCTTCTCTTCCTAGTCTTTGGAATAAAATTCCAGCACCTTTTAAATCATGAATAGGTGTGGGATTTTCTCAAATGCTTTCTCTGTGCCTGTTGAGAAGATCATGTGTTTTTTCTTTTTTATACTGTTAATGTCATGAATTACAATGACTAATTTTTAAATGTAAAACCAACCCTTGTATTCCTAGGAAAAAATCCTAATTGGTCCTAGTATACAGTCCTTTTTATAAGTTGCAGATTTGATTTATTAATATTTTGTTGTGGATTTTGGAGTCTATTTTTGTGAGAGGGCATCAATCTGTAGTTTTCTTTTTTTGATGTCTTTGTCTAGCTTTGATATCGGGGAATACCTGCCTCATAGAATGAGTTGGGAAGTATTTCTTCTTCCTCTGTTTTCTGGAAGTTTCTAGAGGATTTGTACTTTTTTTTCTCTAAATGTTTGATAGAATTCACCAGTAAAGCCATCTGGGCCTGTACATTTTAAGATGAGAATATTTTAAATTGCTAATTAAATTTATTTACTTTTTATACATCTATTTAGATTTTCTATTTCTTCCTGAGTCAGTTTTGGTAATTTTAGTAATTTTGTCTTTCTAGAAATAGGTTAGTTTCATTTATGTGGTCCAGTTTTATAGCATAAAGTTGTTTATGTACTTATAATCCTTTTAATTTCTGTAATGTCACTGGTAATGTTCCCTCTTTTATTCCTGAATTTTGTAATTTTGTTTGTTTGTTTGTTTTTGTTTTTGTTTTTTTCTTCTCTAAAAGGTAGGGGCTTCTGCATAGAGGAGTTTATTCATGGCTTAGCTTAAAAATGTAGATATTTTTTGCTCATATGCATCAAGGATCAGCAAGCCATGGCCCATGGGCCAAATAGTCCTGCTTTTTGTAAATAAGGTTTTATTGGAACACAACAATAGCCATTTACTTACATATTCTATGGTTGTTTTCATGCATAACAGCAGAGTTGAATCATTGAAACAGAAACTTTTTCACACCCAAAGGCCTAAAATATTTTCTGTCTGGCGCTTTAGAGAAAAATGTTCCAAATTCTCTTTCTAACCTGAAGGTTTGTCAGTTGGCTCTAAATATTTAAAATTGTACTTTTAATCTCAGTCTTGTTGATGCCATTCCATTTGGTTAGTGGTGAAGAAATCCTTACCTTTCTAAATACAGAAAGATGTTGAAGTACGAGCATTGTAGGGCCACTCTCTTTCTGATAGTCATGCTTTGTACTTAATTTCATTTTTCGTTTTTGTATATAAATCATGGGAAACCAAGGCTGTAACCATGTGCCTTGTGTCCCTTTTATCAGTATATGAGAGTTTAAATATTATTTTTCACTGTACCTTAAATTTTGTAATTATAAAAGTATTATTTAGGTAAATGCTTGTGATAAGAGTTTAAACAATATAAAGGTATACAGAGTTAAAAGCAGTAACACTTCTTCATACTTTTAATATTCCTACTTCTTCACAGAGATCTTCATGATAAGGAGCTTGATTTGCACATTTTCATTCTTTTTAATACATTTTTATTCAGATATAGATCTAATTTTTAAAAAACATAACTGGGAAATAATGTATGGCTGTGCAGTGACTTTTTTTTCATTTAACACTATATCCTGTAGAGCCACGTTGATTTGCCTCCTTTTTAACTGCTATATTCATTCTCTGTATATACGTCTTGGTAAAATAGAAAAATCTAGTGCACATAAGCAACAAGGTATTTTGTGTCATCAAGGGATAGCTGAGACATATTCATGCCTGACAGATTGGGATAGTTAGCACAGAATCTTACCATTGACTTGTGTGATAAGTCCTATTCTGTATTTAAAACGTTTATTTCTTTCCAGGTAAAAAACATTTCTTCCAATTGCCTGGCACATTGTTGACACTCAGTAAATTCGTCAAATAAATGAATGAATTTGTAAAATAGATGAATGATTAAAAACTTGTGAAAGTTAACTTCTAGATTAGAGAATACAGAGTTCTGATAATCAATACAAAGTTTCTAGCTATGATGATTCTATAAGAGGTCTCAGGGTATTTGTTATTGAGTTAATTAACTATTCCATTTTCTTCTGTTAAAGATTTTTTGATGGTAGCTGTCAGATTTAATAGTATTTTTTTCTGTTGTTTGTTAGTAACTTTACATTGCCTCATTCCATTAGCATTATCTTTGAAAACTTTATTTGCTTATCATAAGATTAATTCTTTTTTCCCCCAGCATCCAGTGTTGGATGAACCAATAGCAGAGGCTGTCTGTATTATAGCTGACATGGATAAATGGACTGTCCAAGTAGCCAGTAGCCAGAGACGAGTGACAGATAATAAATTGGGAAAGGAAGTATTGGTTTCCAGTCTTGTTTCCAACCTGCTTCATTCCACTCTTCAGCTTTATAAGCACAACTTGTCTCCGAATTTTGTAAGTATATGTAAAAAAAAAATTTTTTTTTTTTTGGCTGCTGGCTGGGGTGGGGATCTGAACCCTTGACCCGTCTCCGAATTTTGTAAGTATATGTAAAAAAAAAATTTTTTTTTTTTGGCTGCTGGCTGGTGTGGGGATCTGAACCCTTGACCCTGGTGTTAGTTATAGTACTGTGCTCTAACCAACTGAGCTAACCAGCTAGCCCCAGAAATGTAAAGTTTGAATTACTTTGAGGACTCCCATAGGTGACTAAATTCTACTTAGTATTGTGCCTATATTAAATACTGCTGCCAGCTTCATCATTATTTTTCTGAAAAGAGGTGTTATGGACTGGATGTTTGTGTCCCCTGAAAATTCATATGTTGAAGCCCTAACCCTCAATGTGACAATATTTGGATATGGGGCCTTTGGGAGGTAATTAAGATTAGATTGGGTTTTGAGGGTGGACCCTTATGATGGGATTAGTGGCTTAATAAGATTGAGGAAGAGAGAGAGAGATTGTTCTCTCTCTGCTGTGTGAGAACACAAGAAGGCAGCCATCTATTAGCCAGGAAGAGAGCCCTCAGCAGAACCCCACCATGTGTGCACCCTAATTTTGGACTTCTAGCCTCCAGAACTGTAAGAAAATAAATCTCCATTGTTTAAGCCCCCCAGTCTGTAGCACTTTGTCATGGCATCCTGAGCTGAGACAGTAGGGGATATGTACATGTCTGTATATTCTGATTTTAGCAGCCAGAATTTTTGATCATGTGCGATATGGTCATGCAACATCCCCAAGCTTTGTATAGAATGCAAGTGCATTCTGGACGCTGATTGTCAAGTCAAGACTTTGAATGATTCCTCTTCGTACTACTGATAATTTCTTACTAAAGATGCCATTTCCAACTTTCAAGGTTCTTTCTTTCTCATGTTAGAAGAACTATAATATAACATAGTTAAAAAGCTGTGTACATCAACATGATAAAGTTCATCTATGACAGACCCATAGTTAACATCTTACTCAAGGGTGAAAGACTGAAGGCTTTTCCCCTAAGATCAGAAACACGACAAGGATATCCACTTTGACCACTTCCATTCAACATAGTATTGGAAGTCCTAGCCAGAGAAACTAGGCAAGAAAAAGAAGCAAAAGATTTCAGAATTAGAAAGGAAGAAGTAAAATTATCTCTGTGTGCAGATGACATGATTTTATATGTAGAAAATGTAAAGATTCCACAAAGAAACTGGTAGACCAAATAAAGCAAATTTGCAGGATATGCAGCATGCAAAAATAAGTTGCATTCTTATACACTAGCAATGAACAATCTCAAAAGGAAATTAAGAAAACAGTTCTTAAAATAACATCAAGAATAAATTATATACAAATAAATTTAAACAAAGAGGCAAAAGTCTTGTACACTGAAAACTACAGAACATTGCTGAAAGAAATTAAAGAAAGGTATAAAATAAATGAAAGCACATCCATGTTCATGGATTAGAAGAGTTAATATTGTTAAGATCCCAAAGCAAGCTACAGATTCAATGTAATCCCTATCAAAATCCCATTGACATTTTTCTGCAGAAATTGGAAAACCTATCTTAAAATTCATTTGGAATTTCAAGGGATCCCTAAAGAGCCAAAACAATCTTGAAAAAGAACAAAGTTTGGGGACAATTCCCAATTTCAAAACTTACGACAAAGCTACAAAAATTAAAATGTTGTGGTACTAGCATAAGGACAGGCATATAGACTACTGGAATGGAATGGTGAGCTGTAAAATAAACCCTCACATATAAGGTTAATTGATTTTTGACAAGGGTGCCAAGACCATTCGATAGGGAAAGGAGTCTTTTCAACAGAAGATGCTAGGAAAACTGAATGTCACATGCCAAAGAATGCCAAAAAATGAAGTTGAGTCCTTTATGCCTTATACAAAAATGAACTCAAAATGGATTAAAGACCTAAACTTAACTAAAACTATAAAACTTTTATAAGAAAACAGGAGATAATCTTCATGACTGGATATGGCAGTGATTTCTTGAATTTTGACACCAAAGCATTGGTAACAATAGTAAAAATAGAAAAATTCAACATCATTAAATAAAAACTTTTATCAGCTATCAACAGAGTAAAAAGATAACCCACAGAATGGGAGAAAATATTTGCAAATCATGTATCTGAAAAGGGATTGATATCCAGAGTATATAAAGCACTCCTACAGCTCAACAACAAAAAGGCAAATAAATTAAAAAATGGGCAAAGGACTTGAATAGGCATTTCACCAAAGAAAAATATACAAATGGCTAGTAAGCACCTGAAAATATTTCAACATCATTAGTCATTAGGGAAATGCAAATAAAACCACCATGAGATGCTGCTTCACAGCCATAATGATGACTATGGTCAGAAAACCATTAACAAATACTAAGTATTGGCCAGTGGGGAGAAATTGGAACCCTTGTGCATTGCTGGTGGGAATGTAAAATGGTGCAGGTGCTGTGGAAGATAGTTTACAGTTCCTCAAAAAGTTTAACATAGTATTACCATATAATCTAGCAATTCCACTTCTACATTATGCACAAAAGAATGGAAAGCAGGGACTTAAACAGATAATAGTATCCTAATGTTCATAGCAGCATTATTCACAATAGCCAAAAGTTAGAAATAACCTAAGTGTCAATCAGCAAATGAATGGATAAACAAAATGAGGCATAATACACACAATGCAGTATTTATTCAGCCATAAAAAGAAATGAAATTCTGATACATGCTACAATATGGATGGACTTCACAAACATTATGCTAAGTGAAATAAGCCAGACACAGAAAGACAAATATTGTATGAGTCCACTAATATGAGATACCTCAAATATGTAAATTGATAAAGACAGAAAGTAGAATAGTGGGCTGGGGAGAAAGAGGGAATGAGGAGTTATTGTTTAATGGATACAGAGTTTCTGTTTGGGATGATGAAAAAATTCTGGAAGTGGATAGTGGTGATGGTTGTACAACATTGTGAATACACTTAATGCCAATGAATTATATAATTTAAAATGGTTAATATGGTAAATGGTAATAATATTTTATATATCCATATATTCTGTAGGAATATTCTGAAGGAAAAATTCCAATTTTTCCTTCACTGAAGTCCATTTGGTTGTGTTTTTCCAATAATAAAATGGGTTTTATTAGGAGGTTTTAATAGCTGATTTTCATTGGAAAGTATTTAGTATTTTAAAACTTGAAACTCATATTTTTTCCTCAAACATATATAGCATCAAGTCACATGAAAAAAATTACCTATTTTAGTAAATTGAGCAAATTAATTGACAATAAACCAAATGTATTTGTTTTAATTTGTAATGTTCCAGTTTGGAAACATCTCTCTTATAGTAAGGACTACAGAGCATTCTCTGTGGAATATGGCAAGCTGGTTTTTACTCTCCACAAGTGAATACAGCCTTTCCAATGCAAAAATATATATATCAATTTATAAAAATGTTACATTTATCAAATTTGAAATGAAAACATATTTTTAAACATTTTGGAAATGGATAGTGGTGATCGTTGCATAACATTTTGAATGTAATGAATGTCACTGAATTGTACACTTAAAAATGGCTATAAATAATGAATATGCTAATAATAATTAAAATAAATTTTAGAAACCGGTTATAATGGTAAATTTTATGTTATGCATATTTTATTGCAATTATTAAAAAAGCACTACAGAAGCTAATCTTTGATATGGGCTAGAAAGTTTTACACTCCTTTTTAGCTAAAGCTATATACTTTAAAAATGTGCTCCAAATTTTAGTCCATGTTGGAATAACTGAATAGAATAGTCAAAAACATGATGCTTTGGAATTTGCCATCACTTGGAGTTGGAAACTATTTTCTGACCTGGTTCTTGCTTCCTTCGTAACTGCAGTGTGTAATGCATCTTGAAGACCGGTTGCAGGAGCTTTACTTCAAAAGCAAGATGCTGTCTGAATACCTGAGGGGGCAGATGCGTGTTCATGTCAAGGAGCTGGGAGTGGTTCTGGGGTATGTTCATGGTTTCTTTTCTGGTTCTGCTTTCTCATTGCTCTGTCTTTAGGCAAGGAGTATTCTTCAGAATTGCCCTTCCTTTTAAGTGTCTTTTGTTAGAAGCTGAACACTGTTATTTAGGTTGCTTTATACCATGTAAAAGCAGATTCTCTGTCATCCACTGATCTGAAAGGCATTGTTCCTTGTGCTATTACGTAGAGTATGTTGAGAATATAATCGGAATGAACAAAAATTTAAATCTTTGTCTTAGAAAAAATGTGTTCTTTCTTTATTGAATATGTTGTAGACTCATTATTCCAAGCATCTTCTCTGCCTTCCAAATGAGCAGATTGAACAGCCTCTATAGATAGTAGTACATTATCTCCATTTTATCTTTCCTTCCCCATTATCTATATATTATGTTTGCCTCCTCTAGTTATTCCTTAGAAGCAAACACTTACCTAAAATGCTAACTGAAGAGGGAACAGGGAATTGGTAGGGGGCATAGGATAGTCCTATTTCATTATGTTCTGTGGTCACTTTTCCTACGTTCTGTGGCCACTTTTTGTGTGTGTGGATGTGTAAAATGATTCACAGGTCTTTTTTTTAAAGGCTAGTTGAAGAAATTAAAACAAGTAAAACTTTTATCTAATTCAGCTTTTATGAAGGGAAAAGGAGCCAACATCACTGAGAACCTACTGTATGTCAGAAACCAAATTAAATTCATTTATTAGTGTTACTCCTTCTTTTTTTATTTTATTTTATTTTTTTCCATAGCCCCAGTGTGGGAAACCCCTTAATTCTTATAGTTATCCTGCAGTGTGTAGGCAGTATCATCCAGATTGGAAAAAGATGATTCTAGAACTGAGTAGGGATTTGAATGAGTTCATATCTTTCTGACTCCAGATCCTATTTATATACCATGATACTGCATTGAGGCTTTTGATTTGAGCAGTACAGAGAGAATGGTTCTCCAGTATTTGGGAAATCAGTAATAGGATATAATCTTGTTTTTCTGGGGAGTGAAGCGAGAGAGAGAGAGAGAGAGACAGAATGAGTGTGTGTTTGTGTTGAATGCCTTTATTTAAAAAAAAATTTAAACTAGTTTTTAAAATAATGTGCATATAACCAAAGTTCACCATGCATTTTGGCATAAAATGAAAAGTAAGTTGTCATAACTTTACATCAGCTTCCAACTATTAATAGATTGTTTATTCTTATAAAATTTTTAAATGTATAATATAAAAATATAAATCAATTTATACTCTATATGTCATTGTGCAGCTTCCCTTGAATGTTTGTTCATGTAAGAACATACTGATCTATTTTATTCTTTTTAGTGGCTGTACAGCATTCCACTATATTTTGGAATTTAGATTATTTTAAGTTTTTCGCTAATGCAGGAATGAATATAAATCTTTGACATTTGTAGGATAAATTCCTTGAAGTAGAATTTTTGGTTATAGGACATGTATGTTAATTTTTTTGTAAACTTTTATAGATAATACTGAATGCTATCCAAAAATTACCAGTATAAATTCCCACAAACAGCAAGAAGCACACTTTTCTCACTATTGGCTATTAACCAACTTTTTAATCTTTGCCAAGCTACTGGCTGAAAAATGGCATCTAATTTTATTCAAATTTTTCTACTCTGAGTGAGTCTGAGTAAATTTTTTTATGTTTATTGGCCATTTTTATTTTTCTATAAATTATTTATGGTAGGATGTATTTTTAAGAAGTTTCAACATTTCTTCCAGTATGTTTTTGCTGTTGTTGTTATTGTTGTTTTTTGTTTTTTACAGTGCATCATGTTACAGAAACATTCTTATCCAAAACAATCTGGGTGTACACTATTATTCTATTATTATACTAGATTGTGTTTTTTAAACATTGTGCCTTGACCAAATAGGTGTATGGCCAATCAGCAGGTCAGTGAGATGCTATCCTGTATCAGTGACTTTGTTACCTTTGAGTTTCAGAGGCTTGCTTCTTTAAAAATCTGTGGTTATCAGTTTTACTTACTAAGAACTTGACTTTCATTATCTTCAACTCTCTTACCCCTTTTCTTTTGGCCACAGTGGCCTAGGTCCTTAACTGCTAAGGTGTAGTGACGTTACTGGTAGAGGCCATTGCCTGTAGGATTCATGTCCAGGGTACAGAAAGCCTTAACTGAGATTATTATTTTTCTTTTATTCCAGGATTGAATCCAGCGATCTTCCTCTACTGGCTGCTGTAGCAAGCACTCACTCTCCTTATGTTGCTCAAATACTACTTTAACATGCCTAAAGGTTGTTACAAATTAACTTTGGTGAAAAGTTTAGTAGAAACCAAGGAAGCAGATACAACATACACTTATGGAATTGTGTATGTTTTTTTCCCTGTTAGATTTCTATCTGAATGAGTCAGTCACTGTTATATCCTGAATTAATTGCATTACCTATTCTGTCTGCGATGGATGGCTTTTTCTTTTTGACTGGACTTTTGGGTAGTGGTATATTTTTAATCATGTGAAACTAAAGCTGCATACAAAATTTGGGGTGAGGGAAACATTTGAAAAAGCCAAATCGTAACTTAGAAATTTCTACAAAATGAATAATATCAAGGAATTTCATGTGATCACTATGATGTTGTCACACTCATAAATAGCAACAGATGTCTCATGATTAAATGGCCAGGAAATAGTCATTTCATTTGTTTTTAATTTTTTATTTCTACGGTACAGAGAGACCTATATAACCTTGATTATTTGTTATTTTGTTTTGCAATTCAAAACAGCTAATTTCTGGTTATTTCTCAAAGTATGAGGGGACTTCAAAAAGTTCATAGAAAAATGGAATTGAAAGATAATACAAATTTCTCCATGAACTTTTTGAAATCCCCTTGTATTTTAAACAGTCTGTTCATTGTAACAGACTCAAAATAATGAGTAAATGTGTGTTGTTAACCACCCAAGTGTACATATGTATCTATTTTTTAAAAAAGCAGAAGTAGGAATACAAGATTGGTAAACATACCTTTTTAAAAAATATTTTCAACTAGTATTAATTGTATGTAATGTCAAAATGTTACTTTCTAGTGATTTTTCTGTTTCACGCACTCTAAAATACAAGTAAAGTCAATCTTTTTTTAAGGCTGAGGAATATAGATTCCCCAATTAAGAATACTACTTTATACCATTTGTTTATAAGTATGAGCTAATTCTTATAAATATTAATATTTACCTATTCACTAATTTAATAAATGAAAAATAGGACGCACTCTAAAATACAAGTAAAGTCAATCTTTTTTTAAGGCTGAGGAATGTAGATTCCCCAAATAAGAATACTACTTTATACCATTTGTTTATAAGTACGAGCTAATTCTTATAAATATTAATATTTACCTATTCACTAATTTAATAAATGAAAAATAGGATTGAAAATTGCACCAAAGCATTGGAAAAAATAATACTATTTTCTTTAAAAGTGCTCAGGTAGCCGAGGCCCTTGCTTTTGGAATCAGCTTTTCTTAAAACCCATAGGAGCCAAATATTTGTTTCTGTGCTTAATAATATTCAATTTACACTAATAGAACTCAAAAATCTTAAAATTGTTCTTTTCTCTAAGAGCCCTTCCCTTCCAAAAGCTGATTTTTTTTCAAAGATTTCCACTTTTTAATTGTTGTTGTCTTTGTATATACTGTAGAGTGTTGCTTGTAAGAAAGGCTAATATGGAACCAAACTCTTGTAAGTAATGTAAATAGAAAGATGGGTAGATAAAGTTTTCAATATGCTCTACTACCTCAGTTTACTTGAATACTACATTACAGTTTATTCTTTGCTTATCTGATGTAAGATACTTTTACTGCTAGAAGTAAAATTGGTCCTGCTTTCATTGACTGTTTTCATCATAATTAATTGATTAACTAAAAAAAGAAAACCACTTGCTTATTCAGTTATTAATACATTTGCTATATAACACATCTATTCTTGCTGATTAAATTTTTAATTATTAATAGAAATTGTCTGTGGTTTGTTTAGTCTCTGAGCTTGAATTTATAGTGTTGGGTCACATTTTGCCTTGCTCTTTGTGTATTCAAGAGATCTCCAACTAGACAAAGAGAAAATGGATGTTTTAATGGCTTATAAACCTGAAATTGGTGTGCCTACAATCAGTTTGACCTGTGCTTTCTTAGCGAGTCTCAGTTAGTACCTGATTTTCCCATGGATGACTTGCTGCCGAAGATTGTTTATGGGTATATTTTCGTTGGCTTAATTTTCTTACTCCATTCATTAACAGAATTCTTCTGTTGTCTAGTTTTGTAATTCTATGAGTCAATCTCCTTGGCAGAATTCAGAATATAGAAAAGTTCAGATGTGGGTCATTGTACATTACTTTTTGATAGTAGCTCAGAATCATATGTAGCAGGTAATTAATGTCTGTCTCTGGTGTTTTCTTAATCATCAGACTATTCTCAGTCCTATTGGAAATGTCTAATAAATTACCATTTAGGAATTCTAGTCTCAATAAGGGGTTGGCTTATACTTCTGTTATTCTTAGAACTAAGCTTTGCTGGGGTAGAAAAGGTGTATAGTTTCTTAAAGAATCATTAATCCTTATAGGATTCCTGAGTTTTATTATTTTTAACCCTTTTGTAATTTCTGTTAGCTTCATCATAGTCATTCTTTCCTTACACAAAGCCCAACAAATGAGCTTTAAAGTATGAACTTTAAAAGTATAAAGTATACTTTTAAAGTATAAGTGAACTTATTTAAAGTATGGTCATTATGATGAATGGGAAGAGAACTTTATACTTTTAAAGTATAAGTGAACTTATTTAAAGTATGGTCATTATGATGAATGGGAAGAGAGTTATGGCCTGTTTGAAATAATGTTTTCAACTTCTTATGGTACAGACAGATATGTGATACATATCAAAAAACCCTGTTTGTTGCAACAGGAAATGAAAAAGGGATCTTTTACATTATAGAATTAAAACTAATTTTTCCTTGTATATAAACTAATCGGTTTGATTTAAAGTACTCCTGGCTTTTATTAATAAGTCTTAATTTTGAGTTTGAAAATATTAAGTGCAGTAAACATACTAGCACAGTTTTCATTTTGTTGCAGTTGGCGTACACTGGGGATGATCAGTAAAAAAAAAAACCAAACAGATTTTACATAATGCCTACTCTTGATAGATGTCTTATGAGAATGTTCTGCTTTCTCTAAGTTATTTAGCTGGTGGATATGTAAAATGTACATAATTGTTCCTTGTTCTGTATACATTTCTCAAATGTACACCTGTATTATAATAACCTCCCAGTTCAAGGGGAAACTTGTGCAATAAATACACATGTCAATTTGATGGATGGTGTTAGTCTTTCTTTCCTATATTAATAAGGTATATGGAACATTACGGACTCTGGTGTCAGACCATCTGGATTCTTGTCTCAAGTTTGACACTTCTAGGCATGTGACCTTTACATATTCGTAGCTTAGTAAAAACTAGTTCATGAGGTGGTTGTGAGAATCAAGTGAAATAAAGAATTTAGCTCAATGCTGAAATACTGCAAATGCTTAATAAATTTTTGGCTGCTACTCTTACCAGGTAATCTGTCAAACCTTACCACTGTGGTCCGTGCCTATTGTTTGGGGAATTTTTAACATATGTTCTTATGAATAAAAACATAGTAACAAAAATATACTGGTATATTCTTACACCTGACCTAATCCTCACAATGACAAATTGAAAATTTCTTTAAATGCTTTTATGAAAGCAAACTGAACCCAATCAACTAAAACCTAGAAGCTATGTAAAGCTGTTAAGAACGTTGTATCCAATACAAATTATTATAGACCTTACAGTTAAACAAAAAATTGGCCAATTGGTTTGGGTTCTAATCCTGGTTTGTTCATAGATTTGCATGTGACTCTGAGCAAATCTGTTCTGTTCATCTGTATTGTAGGGAACTCAGGTCTTCCAGCAATCTTTAGTGCCTGCTCTGCAGCACTGCTTCAACTCTGAGTAGACTTGTTGGCAATCTACCTTCCTCAGGGTAGGTTGATTTGGGCAGAGTTATGCCTGGAGGCAGGACTAGACCGGGGACTTTTAGGAGTACCTGTTTTCATATATTACACCTGACACAACATTTAAGTAAAGAGAATAAGTGCGCTGTTTTAAAGCAGACAAGGAAGTATCAAGTATTTAGGAAGCAATCATCAGATATTTTAGAGGTTTATAATTGGTACCTGTGTTTCTATGTACTGTTCCTACATATATAATTAGAGAAATCTTGCAACATTTCTAGGAAGCATGGAGGAGTGATTTTGCTAATGAGAAACTGAGGTACAGAGAATGTAATGTGATTATCTGAAGTCACACAGTCTTTCCTGTATGATCCATCTTCTCTTTCAGACCACAGTGGTTTCCCAACTAATATGTGGTGACAGATGTAAAGATATCCGGAATTTCTTCATTGGACTTTGCCAATGTGGAAGGTAGGGGCAGGGTTGCAAGTGAGAAAAACCTGAGCTGAAGGGCAATGGGGGCTGGGAAATTGTAACTCAGTGGGAAGGGCTTAGGTATGTAGAAGAGGGAGAAATAGTGGGGGTGTAGTCTTTTTTATATTTGCTCAGTGCAGACTGTGGGCTTGGCCATGCTTGCTCTAGATTTAAGATTGAGACTTCCCTAAAAAATAAAAAAAAATAAAAATACAAGCAGTCAAAAGAGATTTTTAAAGAATATGCGAAATTCCTAACTATTATTTGTCAAGAGAACTTTTGTGGGGCTTATGGTCTTAAAGCATGTGCTCAGATCAGAGTTCGCCCTCACCCCTAGGAACCAGGAGACGAGGTCCCCGTATCATCTTTCTTTAAAAGGGACTTTCCTTCTGGTGAACATATGAACCTAGACCGATCCCTTCATCAGATTGCAGGCAGCTCTGTCTGGGTTAGCACTGTCTGATTAGACCTTCAGAAGATAAACATGTATTTAGTATAAGGAGAAAATTAAGTTGAAGAGATTTGAGGTTCCTTCCTTTTCAAGTGACCATCTTAACAAGGATAGTCCAAAAACATGCCTTCATATTTACCTCAGTGCTCAAATTCAGATTATTGATAGACAGCTTTTTTTTCCTAAATTGCATTAAGGGGGAGGAACAAAACTTGATGAAATGTTGTGTAAATACAAGGAAGGTATTGTTATTATCTCTAGAAATTTGTGGTACTACTCTTGTGGGACACATTTGGTACAGCATTCACAACTGAATATTCTTCACAGCTGGAGTTAAAATGGGTGAGCCTAGTCCAGACCTGAGTTTAGAGTGGTTCTCAAACCTGATTGCATATTAGAAACACCTGGGTGGCTTTAGAAAACTATGAATTCCTACACCCCACCCCGAGATTTGATTCAATGGGGAAAAACTGACCTCGATTTGGCACAGAAAATGCTCTTATTTTTTCCACTAGTAGTGACTCAATCTCCAGCATACTCCAAATCTTAATTCCTTACCTCATTCCGGCTGCTATTAAAACCAGAGCGCTTTACACCCACATTTTTGTTGGTTTGCAGTTATTCTGGGAAGATGGCCATATGATTGTCTGCTTCGTGAACATTCAGTTTTGTATATAATGCAACAGGTATCTAGCCAGATATTTTTCTTTGCCATTGGAGAGCAATCAAGTGCCTACCTTTCTACAGCAAAACCCTCTCTAAATTAGTCCTTAGTTTCATTTGTTCATTCAGCAAATATTTATTAAACAACTTGTTAGGTATTAGGTTTGGGTGCCAGGGGTATGCCAATAAATAACACAAACATACTTCTGTTCTTATGGAAATTACATATTTCCCTCTGGTGGAAAAGATAGACTGAAAAAAAATTACATATGTATAAATTTATTGTCAGGTGGTAGTAAGTATAAGGAAGAAAAATGAGGTAAGAAATTAAGCCAGTTTTCAAAAAGATATAACCATGTTTTTATTTTCCCACAATTTAATAAATTGCTTGGGGCTGGCCATTTAGCTCACTTGGGAGAGCATGGTGCTGGTAACAACAATGTCATAGGTTTATATCCCTGTACCAGTCCCCCCACTGCCAATTGCTTGCATTGGGACCATTATTTTTTCCTTTCAGATGTAAGTTTTTTTGTTTGTTTTCCTTTGGTGGCTGGCCTGTACAGGGAACTGAGCCCTTGACTTTGGTGTTACAAGGTGACACTGTAACCA